TTTTCCTCTTTTTAGATTCAAAGTCTGGTATGAGTTTGTAATGAATTTTGGTCACACAAAAGAGATCTTGAACATTTGTGCTTTGTGACAAGTCTTCAAACAGCAGAATGACTAAATCCTATGCTGTTTACAAAGTGATGCTTTTCCTGTCCCACCCAGGTGGATCTGTTCCTTACATTGTGTGATTCAGCTGTCAAAGAACAGCATGCTTCTTTGAAAGGCCAAGTGGAGGCCATATTGAGAACCTGTCAAAAGCAGAAGTACAGTCCTTTATGCAGCGTTAAATTACTTTTTCATGTTAAACAAAGCACTGCTTCCATAGAATTTTTTTTTTTTAATTTACAGTTTCTATCAAGCAGCTCTTCCTTCTGCCTCTTCCCTTCATTTCTAACTGACTGGTAATGACCTTCAGCTGGAATTTGCATATTAACACAGCCATTTTTGACAAACCCTTTATCACTATTCCTTTGAGTCAAAGAGCCTGTTCAAGATCACTTGTCTAACTAAACAGACTGAAAAGAGCATTTGTGACAATGAAACTATGCATTTAGAATTTTTGGTAAATTATCCACTGTATCAGTTATCCTGGTTTAATCCAATCCAATAATCCTATTTTATTTAGAAGTTTTATTGAGAAATTTTTCATTGTTGTGTATTTTCTAACAAGAATTGTCTTAATTGACCATTCTGCATTGTTGAACAAGGAAAAAATAATATCCCATGCACTTAGCATGAGGCTTAAAAGATGTCTGTGTTTACAGTGTACATACTAGCATTTTGTAATATTTGACTTTGTGTTGTAATGTTACTATTTAAAGGAGTAGTAGGCAAATCATCAGTCTCAATTAGAAAAGTTAGCATTTTGAAATGTTACAAACCCTATGCAGACAACAAAATAAATTGTATGCACCTGATCTAAAGCCCACTGAAATCAGTGGAAAAGTTCCCACTGGTTTCAGTGGGTTTTGGATCAAGCCCTAGAGGAACAGCAGTATCAAATAAATATATTTTGGATGCCCAAACCACAGTTTCAGTTATGATACCTAGTATAGCCCAGATACAAACACACTGACTGTAGTTGCATTTGTGTGTTATCTATGCATGCTGAAGAGAAAAAAATAAATGTGACTTGTAAACAAAAGAAAAATAATTTTCAATTGCTAAGAACTAGTATGTCAGAATTAAAGATTCAATTATCATAAAAATATCTTGTCATGAAACGTACTGTTCGAATACCATCTAAATATTTTGCTTTCATAAATGACCTATTGGTAGGTCACTACATTCATAGTACCTTTTCTTATCCATGGTATCTAATGATTAGTTGGAACAGGTTTATGACTAACAGTATACAACCCTGTCTCCGGCAGCATAACTGAAAAGAATTACAGCAACCCTCCTGAAGGTAATAATATGTATAGACCATTCTATAAAAATATTAACAGATGTGGCAGATATATTTTTCATAAGAAAATGGGGAGGAGGGGAAAGGATTAATTTTAAGTATGAAACTAGCCCACCTACGTAAACCTGAGTTTTTTATCCACTGAATTACAATTGATGAATGTAATGATCAACTCTCTAGGGTAACACAAAAAGTTATTTTCTTATATTAATAATAAGAAAGGATTTTAAATGTCTTATAACAAATAAATATAATTTGTAGAGCATGGGATGTAAATTACCACCCTTCCATGAATCTGAGATGATTTAAATTTGCAGAGAAGTCCATACTACATTGATGTGTGTGTGTATATATATATATATACACACATACACATTTACACACACATGCACTGGAGATTTCCATTCAGTGTACCTACTAACAATTTCATCCATTTGCCCTTGCATTTTGAACACCTTTCCTCTACTTACAGGAACACACTCCTAACACTATTAATCATTTGGGATCAAAATACAGCCTAGATTTAAGGATTTTCCCCCCAAAAATTGATGAAGCATGATTATGAAGTCAACAAATGTTTCCTTACTTTTTAAATACAAAGGATCAAAAGATGAACATTTGTTTACATCATTGTGGTTATAGTAAACATCAACCCCCAATAAAGCCTATGGACTCAAAAAGTTAAATATAAAACATCTAATGTAATAAATTAAATGGCCACATCAGTCTCTGCCTCTGCTTATTGAATTACCAGGACTGCTACAATTTAATCCAGAAACTTGATCTATCTAATAAAATATAGATAGGGACTTTCACATTTCATTCCATTAGCCATCCTTTGACAGAAATTGCTGTTGCTTATCTCATACACTTCCAGATTCTGCACTTTTTGAAAACTTTTCCTTAAAGCCTTTCTAGTTCCCTTGCTTCTGAGGACTGCGCAAAGGAGGGAAGCTGGAGGTAGGAAATGCTTCCTGGATGTTAAACCATATGAAATCCAACATGATTTTGTACTTTTAAAACATACATGCAGTTGGGCTTTTAAGATACAGAGGTGGAATACATGGAAATAAAACATTTCAAGCAATTGACCAAATCTCAAAAATAAAATTAAGTCACTAGGAAGTGTCCACACTACCACCTTGTGGAATTTTCTTGCAAGAACAGCACCTGCTTGTTTCCACAAAGTTTTTTTTTCCCCTGCCTAATATTAAAATTAGTTTAGTTTCAGGGATAGATAAGGGTTCTATTATTACTAGTTTATTTTATGAAAACAAGGGATAGGCCCACAGCTCAGATGATTAACTTATCTCTTGGGTTTCTTTATTTTCCTCTCTCTTGCTCTCTCTAAATAATTGCCCTGGTTCTAAATGATGAAATAATCATAATCAATTATAACAATAAATCAAATGTAGCCTTGTCTCCATGAACCCCAGCACCGGGGGAGCGGAGGGGGGGGAGTGGAATCTTTCCCGCAAGAGGAAAACAGTAAAACAACCACTTGTGAAACCTGCAGCAGCCAGAGCGTCTGCTGGGGACAGGAGAAGGAAAAGAGGATCCAGTTTCTTCCAGCTGAGCCAAATCCACTGAAAATAAGGGCACTGTTACCCTGAGGGGGGTGTTAGCCTCTAGGCCGTCCCCTTGTGGTGTCTGGACTGGGATAGCTGGTAGAAGAAGTCCCCAGGACCCAGGCCGCTGCAGGATGCTTGCCCTGGCTTAAACCCCCTCCCAGGGGGCAAATGGAGCTCTGTGCAGTCAAGGCCGGCGCTGGGCACCGGACAAGTGGCTGGGGTGAGGTCGAGGCGGGGAGAAAGGCAGCTCAACCCAACGGACAGGTTGCCCTGGGGACGTTGGGCAGCCCAGGCTGAGGGACTCCTGGCCAGGAGGAAGGAACTTACCGGCATTGCAGCTTGCCGGAGAGGGAGCTGAGCTGCCGCGTGCGGGGCGGCCGGGGGAGCTGGGGATGTTTGCCTGCGGCGTCCCCATCACCTGGATCCGCTAGATGAGGGCTAGGCGGTGTAACCTGGGGAGGGCCAGATTGCGGGGGGGGGGGGTGCTTGGGGCTGTTGAGTGGGCAAGGACCGAGTCTGCAGCACGGACTGCTAGAGAGTGGCTGCAGTGAGCAGGGGAAGGGGGAGCGCTCTGCTATAGCCGCCCGCTCCAGAAAAACTCCTCTTGCAACTGGGACCCCAGCGAGGCTCAGCCTCCCCCCCCCGGGGCCAGCAGCTTTCGCCGGGCGGGGGCGGCCCGAGGGAAGGCGCCTGCCGGCAGGTCTGACAGCGGGGAGAGGGAGGTAGAGGTTCAGCGGCTGCTCTCGCTGCGGTCCCCCCCCCTCCCCGGCTGATGGCTGCAGGAGGGACAGATCATCAATCACAGCACCCTGCAGAGGCAAAGTGTGGGTGGGGGGGGGCGCTGCAGTGCAGGAGGGGTGGGCAGGCAAGGGCTGCCCCGGGGGACGTGGGCACGGGGCTGGGCAGCGGGGGGAGGGAGGGGGAGCCGCTCTGCGGTGCCTAACTTCCCCCCGGAGAGCGGGAAGGCGGCAGGTTTGACACAGAGAGTTGGGGGGGGGGGGAGCAGCAGTTTCCCGTGGGGAAGGTGCAACCCGGGGCCAAGGACCGCGGAGAGGCTCCACATGAGGCACCCTTCCCCCCCCCATCCCACACACAACCCCAGCACTGCCCCCTAGCCGCGCGCCAGCCCCAGCTTTGCAGAGAAGCCGATTCGCCCCCCCCCCACCACCACCACCACCACCCGCGAGGCTTCCTCTGTCCCCTTTTATTTCTCTCTTTACACTCCGCTTTTTTTCCTTTTGTTTCCCCCACCGTCGCTTTTCCCTTCGCAAACACCCCCCCACACACACACACACACACACCCAGCTAGCCAGCCACCCTCCCTCGCGAGTGCTGGGCTCCAGTCCATCACGTGTGAGAACCCATGCATCACAAAAGCAGGCATTTTACCCGAGCCCAGCCGCTGAAGAAGAAAAGAGGGTGAATCGCTCCATAGAAGAGCCAAGCTGTGTGTTTTGTTGTTGTTGTTGTTTTAAAGGAGGGGAACACAGCGAGGTTAACCCAAGCCCTAAGTGCCGGATCTGTAATTCCCTCCACACCACCGGCGCACACAGGAGGTCCTGCTCCTTCCAGTGCCTCTGATCTCGTTTGCAGGAAACTGTAGCTTTGCTCTCTTTCTCTCGCCCTGTACTGCAGATATCCCCCCCCCCCCCCACACACACACACCCTTCCTCCTCCCGCGCGCACACACACACACACACTTCTGTTTATTTGTCTGTTAGGCAGAGCTACTTTGTAAACATCTCACACAGAGCCCCAGAGCCTTTTCAAATAGCTGATTGCAGCAAAATGCCTCCAAACAAATGATGGTCCAGGAGAAGACAAATTCTAGATCTGTAGCTGCACAGATGACATGAAGATAGTCTAGGATGGGGAAGAGGACAGAAAAAGTATCGCCTTAAAAATGATGGGGAAAGTAAAAGCATAAACGACTGCAGCAAACTGATCACCCTCTGCCTCAGAACTCACTGCAACCCCCGCAAAAATGAACATGAACACACAAACCTTAATTCTAATATACCTACCTTAACAGTGCGAAAGCTGCAGCTGCACGGAGGTCCCTTTTTTACTCAGCCAAATTCTTCCAGGGAATCCTGACTGGAATTCAAACAGGAATTATTCAAACAAGGCTCCCCTCTGTTTTTTGGAATCCAACGCGATTTTCTTGTCCAAAGGAATGCAACGACCACAAAAAATAAAAAAAGCAACAACAACGCTGGATTTGGAGGAAACTGGTGCTTACTGTTGTAAACGACCTACATTCAGGAAGAAAATTCATTACAAAATCAGTGCAAGAGGGAGAGTTGGGTTTGTGAGTAAGAGCTCTGATTGCCTATGCGGAGACACAGACAAGGGGAGAGACTGATCTGCAAGGAAAAGAGAGATTGAAGAGGGAGAGAGGTCCAGACTGTACCAGTCTCTCTCCTTCTGCTATTGGACCAAACTGAATGAAATTTACAAAGCCAGCAGCCAATAGATCTCTGCAGTCTGCCCCATCACTACAGAAACCATATCTACATCTACAACCTAATGCAAAGAGTATCTAATCCTACTGCAAACCAGCTGTAACAAAATTATCAAGGGTACCTATATGATTGAACAGGTGGGCATTTTACACATATAGAAATAAACGTAGAGAGGCAAATCACAGCGATACTTCCATTGCTTTTTTCTATTCCAATAGCTTACACAACAAATCCATGCTTTTTTAACCCATTAAAGCCAAGATTTCTATAATGTTGAGCAGTGTTTAAAGTGGCAGCGGTGAACCTCTTTCAGTGGTTATCAAACTTACCAATATTAACTTATGTGACACATGGCTAGAAAGAGTTAAACATCCTGCAAAATAAATAACCCTCAAAAGACATGTGGGGAGATAATGTTTGGGTACTTACATATGTATGAGTAGGGTCAACAATGTAATCAACAGTCCCTGTCTATGCTGTATTCTGATATCATTTAAATGAATTGTAAACCCGGGATATCTTGGTATTCATTTCTCTTTGAAATGTACTGTGAATGGTGGAGAAACAAGCAAATGGCCTTATGTTAATTAGTATACTAAGTACTGGTCATGGACCTCCTTCAAAGTCATGCTAATTACCTTTTGTTCCTCAAGGAACTCCAACTTGTCAAAAAGACATGAAATTGTATAAAAGATCCTTGGGTCCTGATTCTGTCATCTCAGATCTGCTTAAGCTCCGTCAAGGAAGTTTGAACTCTTTGCAACTACAAAGATCACCATCTCTGCTATGAATCTGAACCTCAATGTACTGAACTCATGTCTGTCTGTATATCCATCTTTTAACCATACTCCCTCTCTTTTGTTTCTTAATAAATTTTAGTTTAGTTAATAAGAATTGGCTGTAGCGTGTATTTGGGTAAGATCTGAAACATTCAATAATCTGGGAAGGAATGTGTCCGATCCTTTGGGATTGGTAGAATCTTTTCTTTTATATGACGAAATAAGGTTTACAGAAATTTTCATCATATTCGACATGGTTACCTGGATGGAGGCCTGAGGCTGGATCACTTTAAAGGAATGTGGTTTTGGACTTACTGAGTAACCAGTAAGGTCATAAAGAAGCTGTTTTATGCTGGCTTGGTAAATCTAAGTATTGGAATATCCACCAGCTTTATGGGGATTGTCTTCCCCTTTCTTTGCAGTTCACCCTAATTGAATGACCATAACTGGCTCCACACTAGGACCCTGGTCACAACTTACAATGATTGGAAGGAATAATATAATTGAATAATAATCACTGCCTGTTTTAGGTTCCCCTATCTGCTACCTCTCCAAATTAAAACAGCACAGTAGTGACTTGCTCAGTCACAACTATTTAAATATATTTCCATGTAAGAAGGTGTAACGTGCATGTTTTGATTATCAGAAATATTAGTTTGAAGGTCAAGTCCAAGGGCTGGATAAGTGGCAATGTAGTTAGTGCTGGTACAACTATGAGTCTCGGATTCACTTCCTAGATCTCACTTTTTAGGCCATCAAAAGGACAGTGTTGTGCAGAAGGTGCATGCTCAGTCCTGGAAACACATATGCCATGCTTCACTCTGCAGTGACTCCCCCTGGTCAGTATAAGAGTGGCACAGAAGGTTGACCACGATATGGAGCCTTGAAGGTAGTAACGGAGATTGAAACAAGATGACATCTGGGAAGATCCACACTGACCTCTGGAACAAACAAAGGACAAGGGGGAAACAGTGTCTTGATTTTTTTTTTTTTTGTACATTGAAACAAAAAGTGACACACACCTGGGAGAGGTTTCAAATCACAAAACAAAGCTAGACTTTAGAAACAGCAAATACATTTGACAACCTAAAATACTAGAAAATCTGTTATTCCTTTAGTTACCTGCTGGATCTCCAGTTCAGGACTCTGTTTCTTCTGGCATAGCTGACTATATCAGACTATTAAACTAGAGCAGAGTGTGTCCTGCTTTCTCAAAACTGGAGTTTGTCTGTGATATTGGCTTTAACATTCCTACTCCTTCACAGTTTTAAGTGACAAAGGGATATATAGAATCTTGAATTCAGGATCTAGCAGAAAACAGTTGGCCTACTTATGCATCTGTTCTGCACACATAGCTCCTGCAGCATCACATCATAAAAGGAATGTTTTGTTTTTAAATGTACTTCCAATTAAAACTAAGTACAAGTATATTCATATTGACTTGAACAAAACATTTTAACGGATATGGTAGCCACATTAAACTGTTAACCAATTTGTGCACAGAAATCCTGTTCTTTCCTTTAAAAATAATTAATTTAAATGATTTCATTGTATTTTGATTTACTACTTTTAAGTGACTCTTAACAGGTGTTCATACAAGTGAGTTGTACTGTTTTGATTATTTTAATAAAGCATCCAGGAATGTACCACCAATCACATTGCCTGATTAACTAAAAATGTTTGACACATTATAGAAAAGATGTCATCTTGTATTTCCATCTGTCCCAAATTTTGCAGGATGGTCTTTATTTTGATAGTGATGTCATCCATCATACAAGATAAATTTGGAGGATATTTATGCAGTATTTAATCTAATTAATGATCTCCCACCTGTGTCAACATATCATGAAGCGATTTATTATATATGTTACCACAAGACTAATTCCTAACAGTGACAACTCTGCATCCTAAAGGATCCACAAGTACATTAATACTGGTAAGCTTTCTATAGACTTTAGATTTACACAAACTTTACATTTCATGCACCCTCAATATACAGCAACTCCTTAACATCAGACAACAAAACTACATAATGGTTTAGGCCAGAAAGAATATCTCCCTCCCCCCCCCCCCTTGGAAATTGCAGAGGGAATGTAAGTGGACAGAATATAGTTACTGAAGTAGAAATTTGACTAGAACAATTGGATTAAATTCGTCCATTTACAAAAAATTGAATGGATTCTTAATAGTTGGAAGATGGCATCTTCAGCAGAAGGTTGCTCTTTAGCAGTGTTCAGAGGCATTGGAGTATTGATAAGTTGGAGACAAGGGCACTATCTGTGTTGCATGGAGGTATGTAGCCTTGGATTAATTTAGCGTGCAAAATTACACAATTCACCAACAACAGGTTCTTTACTGAGGCAGCTCCATAAGTTTATTCTTAAGAATGATGTTGGGGGTGAGAGACATACAGAACCATAAAAACGTTATTTACCAGCCAAATAACTCGAAACATAAGCATTAGCAAAAAGAAAATAGATACACAAACTGTAACAACCCCCAATTCTGCCATACTCGTAACCTTGTGGAAACAAAGAAAGAAGAAACCTGTAAGTTGATACCATCATAAATGGATGTGAAGCTCAGGCATCCGCAATCTTGTCACCCTGATGAACCCACTAGAGCAGTGGTTCTCAACCTGCAGCCAGTGGGCCGCTTGCGGCCCATTAAGCACACACCTGCAGCAGATATGACATCCTCAGAGTCGCATACGTGGCCCACAATGGTAAATAGGTTGAGAATCACTGCACTAGAGGTTAGACATACACCTTATTTCATATCCCTTGTCCCATATAACCTGTAGCCTACAGAGATGATGTCAGTTTATGCTGAGGCCAAATAGAATATGAGTTAATGAAGTGAGACAATTCAGAGGCAAAGTAGCCCCAGGTCATGTTGTAAACATGTTTTGCTCTTAATTGGTTTTTATAAGTTTTAGATAAAATGTTAATGTTTTGGAAATGCTATCAATATAAATAGTTATTGGTATGGCATTTATGTTGATGTTAATTAAAATTATGCTTAATGTTAAATAGCCAATGAGAAAGCAGAAAATTTTAATTATGATAAAAAAGGTGGATTTAATGCTAATTAATTAAAGGGTGTTGTTATAATTAATTATAAAAAGGGTAGAAGGCTGATTTTAGATGTCCATCCACCACTGATGGATTATATCCATTCTTCCCATCCAGGGACTGATCCCCCTGGATGCATCATTTCATTTTAGAATGTGAGTATAAATGCAGTGTATGGTAATATTGTAATGCCTGTTTGCTGTAACTAACAACTTCATTTTAAATAATGTCTTTAATTTTATTACTCATTGTGTCATTCAGAGTCTTCCACTAAATTACATTATCTGTAACCACCCTGAAGGCTTGAAATTTAAAGAATTCAGCTGGGTTTTATTCCTTACCTTTACACTACTAATTGGGAACACATAAATAAAAAGTTTTTTTCTTTTTAAATACTCAGTTATATTTTTCTTTTTAACTATATATATAAAAAAGGCCCCAAGTGCCCTCCACTGCTGTCAGGTAGTTTTCAGTGTGATGCCAATGCCTGGATTGCCCATGGAACCATTCACAAGCCACTTCACCAATTCTCCGTTATAAGAGCTTTTGGGGGAAGGGTTCTTTGCCCTGGAGCTGCGACAGCCTCATTCACCCTCTGCTCTGCCCCTCTGTCGCTTGTTCAGGATGCTGCCACTTGTATGAGAGGTTCTTCCAGATACTGGACAAGAGCCTGTGCCTTGGCTTTCAGCATGCCAAATCCAACGGTCTCTTTTGCATACCTGCACAGCAAGAGATTTGCCATCTACCCATATCCAGTGACCATGTTTAGATTACCTCCCAGCCCCCTGTTCACATGTGGCAGTCAAGGAACCATAACTGGGGTTCCAATTGCTGACATAGGCTATTTGCATCAATACATTTCCCAATATTTCCAACACATTAATGTCTTTAACCTCATGGTTATATGTTCAAAAATCCCCTAGAAATCCATTATTTCAAGCATGTTTTGTGCTTGTGGTTTACTTGTTTATCCCCAAAAATACATATTGCCAAAAGCCCCTATAACTTTAGAACGTAGGTCAAACACTCATGCCAATTTATAATAACTGCTCATGCTTACTAGGCATCTTGCGTATAGCAAAGCTTA